AGTCTAGCCCATAGTCAAAAAGTTCTTTTCGAAGGGTTTAAGTCTTATCTCGAACTGGATATGAAAAAGCTTAATCCTAAAGATACTCCGAAACTCATTATTAGTCCCGAAAACATTCACAAACTTGGAGTAACTGGCTATAATATAATTATACTAGATGAGTTTAAAACTATCACTCAGAATTTTAGTAGACCTACTATGAAAAAACCAAAACTAAGCCACAACGTATATAAATCCTTGCTTCAATCTGCATTATTGATATTGGCTTTAGATGCTACATTAGATTTAGACTCGCTTGTACATTTACAAAATATTTCAAAAATAGATGCCGAAAATTCAACCGTGATATGGAACCAGCATATACGAGATAAACGTCATGCTCTTATACATATTAATACCAAAAAATGAAATGCTGAATTAATTGGAGCTCTGAGACAAGGATTAAAAGTCTATATTCTAATATTTGCTAGTGCATAAATGGCAGAAGCTCTTCATAAAGAATTGGTGTCTTATGGGTATCAAGGTAAATGTTTTTCCAAACGGCTATCAGAAACAGAGAAAAAAGACATATTTGCTGATATTAACGATGCAGTGGCAAATCTCGATTATTTAATAGCAACTCCAGTCATGACTTGCAGTGTAAGTATAACAATAGAAAACTTCGATATAACATTTGCTCATTTTCGCATATTAGCCGGTCTAACAAGCAATAAAGCGTATCAGATGTTGCACCGCATTAGAAAGTTAAATCAAAATGTAGTGCATGTTCTAACAGATTTACGTGGCAATAATTTGCCAACAGACCGTGAAGATTTACTTCGTTTTATCAGCTATCGATGTAATATCGTGGAATATCTTGACTTAGAGGAAGCTCATTGTGATAAAACACTTACTCTTGATGGCAAATGGATTTTTAAACCAAACGCATCTTTAGAAACTCATCTCTATAATGCATCCTGCCATAATGCGTCTAGAAATGATTTTGTAGATTTACTAGCTGACTGTCTTAGTGAATGCGATTATGATATTAGTGTTGCTGAAGATTGCCCCTCTATTGATTCAAAAATCACAGAAAATAATGAAGGCAAAGAATTGCTTTTAAATGTATATTCAATCAAAAAAGTTCCGGATACAGAAAAGTATTTAATGATTGCTAATGCTCCAGTTTTGAGTGATATCGAAGCTTCGAATATTCGAGAATACTTAGAAAGAGAAGAGGATATAGACCTAGCCTGGAGACTTGCTTTACAGAAATACAATCTAACATCTTTTTATAAAAAGACCCCTGAAGATATAACTGAAGATTTTGTAAAAAAATATTTCCAAAAAGAGATGTGAAATGCGTATAGTATATTAGTTCAAGCTATAAACCCTCTTGATGACTTATGTGAGAATTATAGATTTATGGTTATTGGAGACTCACGAGAGAAGGCTTTTTGCGATTCATTATTACCAAAAGTTATTGCCTTAGAGAAGATTTTACAAGGGATAGGTTTTTCTTCGGGTATTCATACATCTTATACTTTATCATGTCAAGATTTTGATATTAATTTACCAAACTTTCTACCAATTTATAAGAAAAATGAGCGTCATTACTATGCAATATTTGGGAAAAAATGGAGACCACATGCTAACTATAATCTAAAGTATTTTATAGAATTTCTTCTCAAACTACTAAAGGAATTTAAAGTATCATTTTACTAAGAAAAAGATCATAGAAATCAACTTACACACTTAAAACTTAAAATAGATAGAAATCTAAAAATAATTCTTCCCAATGCTTGTTTAAACAATAATGTAATCGCAAATCTCCCAAAATCAGATCTCAATTCTTCTTAAGATATATGCCATGTCATCGATAATACTATTGGTGAAGTTAGTACAATGGAGAAAAATATACCTGAACCTTTGATTTCTTTATCTTCAGAGTTTCTCATTAAAAATGAATCTGATATCGATGTCCTTATCCTTCTTTTACAGCAAAAATTCCAAATATCGAAAGAAAAATTGGAGCAATGGCGAACCAAGATTGCTTTTGAAATGCGGGATAACCATAATTATTGGAAAAAAGAGTGCAAGAGTATGGACGAGGTCGCTTTCCTGAAATATAAGCGAAATTTTGAGCCTAAAATGAAAGTTCCTACTACTCTGTACAAAAAAGAGTTGAAAAATAAATCTTTAGCAATCATTGAATATGTATAATTGCTATTTTAAAATAACGTGATCAGAATACTCTGGCTAGGAGTATATCTAGGCATATATTTTGGATAAGAGGATTTTTGTTACTTCTTACAATTAATATAAGAAAAAATTCAAATAAAAAATTAATATTCTGATATTTGGATCATATAAGAGGTTTTTGTGTCGTATGATTTAGGATAACAACCTGTGCTAGGCATTTTATACAAAGGGGTTTTTGTGTTATATAATTTTAATCGAGATGCAATTGGGACAGCAAAGCGTGTAGATATAACAAGACAGTAAAATATATAGGTATAATGGATCAGCAATTTGCACAGATATGGCTAAATTTTTGGAACAGTGATCCATGGTATAATAGAACAGCAATCTGCACAAGTATAGCTAAATTTTTGAGATGGCAAGATTACATTTTGGTTATATGATTTGGGACAACAAGGTTGCATTTTAATTATATATTTTTTGGATTAGCTGGGTTATATATTGATTATATATTTAGTAACATATATTGGAACAGCACAGCTATACAAGAAAGGATTCTAGAACATAAAATTATATTAGGCTTAATTTTTAGAACAGCAAGGTTACATATTTTTTAGTTATCTGGGAAGTAGTTCAAACAAGTCAAAAGTAATAAAATTGCTATAACTTTGCTATCCCAACCGTATTAAGATTTTTTTTATATCCATATCCATTATACTATACCATCTCTATATCTAATATTCTATCCTCATGTCAAATAAAAATAGAAAACAGATATACTTATTACAATACTTTGAATATTACTAAGTGAGATAGCAATTCGGCACTACGTGCCTCATTCTCGGATAATATTTGAATGAATTATGTAAAGCTAACAACTGTTAATAGTTCAGCACTATGTGCCTCATCCTTAATCGATATTCGAATATATTATATGAAGCTAACAATTGCTAACAGTTTGATACTACGTGCTTCATTATCAGGCAATATTCGAATGAATTATGTGAAGCTAACAACTACTAACAATCTGGGGTTAACTATGGACAAAGTAAATTGATAACATGACCCGATAATATTTTTTGATAGCATAACCTGATAGTATAACCAGATAGCATAACCAGATAGCATATATATAGCATATTTAATAGCAATTAGATAGCATTAATTGATAGTAATTATGCAATGTAAATTTGATAGCATTCTCAATAATATTTATGATGTATGTATCGTCTGACGATGCAAGTGCGAATCGTTTGTCACTCGAATGATGACGCAAGCGTAAATCGTTTGTCACTCAAATGATGGAGCGAATACTAATATATCTCTAATAACACAAGCGCGAATCATTCGTCACTCGAATGATGACACAAGCGTGAATCGTTCGTCACTCGAATGATGGAGCGAATACTAATATATCTCTAATAACACAAGCGTGAATCATTCATCACTCGAATGATGATGCAAATACGAAATGCTCATCATACCTGAGACTATAATAGTCTAATCCAAGTCGTTTTTTGTTTATATAAACAAAAAACAACTTGTTTTATACTGTCTAATACTGTATAAATTTAAAAAATAAATTTTAAAATTAGTTAAACTAAACAAAACCTAATATATAAAGACAAGTATATATATTAACTAGATTACTAAAATTCAAATTAAACAAAAGAATATATATTAATATATATATATATCAAAAATAGATTTTTTTAGATTATCTAGATTAAAAGTTTAAAAAAAATTATAAAGTCAGATCAAAGTATATTTTATTTTTATTTTTATTTTTTAGTTTTGTTAAGTAGTAAATAAATAGTAATATAAAAACAATTTATAAAAAAACTTAATCATAGTTTTAAAATATTTTAATATCTATTAATAATAATATTAAAAAAGATTTAATTATTTTGTGCAAGTGCATTATAATATATCTATAAAATCAGATATAATATCAAATCAAAACAATAGTATTTTTATATAATTAAGATTAGCATTAGATAAGGTTAAAGTAGTTATAAAAGATGGGTTTATAGTAAAATCTTGCAAAAAATTTTTTATTAGAACTCAAAAGATAGTTGTATATATAAAATTTTAAGTTATAAATGATTTTTGACAAAACAAATACTTGTTTTAAATTTTCTTAATCATGTAATATTATACTTGATTTTATATTTAATTAGTTAATTAGAAATATATTACAATGCATATATATATACTAAATTATATAATTTTTAAAAAAATTAGATAGACCAAAAGCTTCTATAATATATATAAATTTAATTAGATAATAATAATATTTATTTAAAAATTTATAACAAATAAAATTTAAGATTTACTAATAATAATAAAATATTAACTTAAATAAAAAATTTATATATTAAAAATAATATAAACTATTATACAATTCAACTCTTTTTTTAATCACTTGAACTAACTATTTCTATACAATTCAAGTTAAAAAGCTCAAAGTCTAATATCTAAAACTATTCAAGTTTTTCTTTTAATTATTATCAAAAAAGCCTCTATTATGATATATCGAAAAATAAGTAGTAAAGAAGCAGTTTGTAGCCTGAGTTAAACTTATTCTTTAGTGAACTTCCTTTTATATTTGGTATCTAAACTAAAAGGATTATTCTAGTAATGATTAAACAAAGAGAACTTTAGGATAGTAAAGAAAAGAAGAACAAAAAACAACTAGAAAAGCATTTTTTATAGCTAGTATCTTACAAAAATCTTAGTTTTTCTTTATTTTACTTTTATTAACACCTTTACAAAATTTTAGTCAGAAATGCTAGTTTTTTACAACTAAAAGATCATTATTGCTTATTTTTTCAAAATAGAATTATGGCTATATTGTGATATATAGCTATATATAAAAATATATAGTACAGAATAGTTTTTTTCTAAAGACAGATACTTGTAGTTAGTTGAAGATAATAGAGTTATCAAAATAAGTAATTTTAGAAATATATTATAGAAGTCACTAGATATATAATTTTTATGCCTTTGTACAGATTGTAGTATATTATTCTTTTTTTGTTTTGTTTAGTCTTAGATCATATATTAATATAAACTAGAATTAGACTTTAGATAATACATACTAGTTTGTGATATAGAAAGTTTATATTGAGTCTATCAACTAATAACTACCGTAGATTCCCGAAAATAAGCTACCATTTTTTGGACGATTTTAAGCTCAAAAAATCAGGAGTAGCTTATTTTCAGGTAAAAGCAGATTTTGCTTGATTACGGAAAATTTTACTAAGCATATCGACATGGCTTATTAAGTGAAAGTTATTCAGGAGATCAAAATACATATATCCTGAAAATTTCACGTAAATCAAACAACTTTTTATTAATTGACTTTTGATTTTTACGTTCAACGAATATGAATTTTAAAGAAATTTTA